GATGATGATGATGATGATGATGATGATGTGCTAGTTGTTGTTTTGGCTTCTTAGCTTCTTTGTCTTATACATGCGTAAATAAAGCGGTTAAGCCGTGCAAAGCGGTCATCAGCCAAAGGGGTCCACTGACCTTCCGACCTTCTGAGATGGTGTTTGGGGTTGGTTTGAAGGGTTGGGCCTGATTGAAACCAATTCGATCGAGAAATGCAACGTGAATGCAACGTCCAAGCGACGCTGGTGTAAAGCAAGTGACCCAGACAGGAAGAAAACATGTTCCAGCACCACCCAAAGGATGCTTATTGGATCGTGAACATATAGTATAACATGGTTGCTGGTTTCTTGCTTTCTCACTTCGGAGAGCGCCATCCGATCCGTTGTCCGAAAGTGAGATCCGTTGGCTTCCCCACTGCCCGACATGCTTTTTATGCTTCCACCGGTCCAGAGAAGCATAGAGAACCCCTCCGGCGCTCGTGGCTCCCGGTCTAGACTCGGGGGCAGAACAAAAAGGAGCGCTGGAATCAGCGAGTGGGCGCTGGGCCCTGGCTCGCCTTTGCTGGTTTGGGCGGTTGTTTTAGAGAGAACGGCAAGACTGTAAGAGCACAGAATCTTTTGACACCATAAGACTTGAGGTGACTTGAGGTGAATCAACCACAAACAACCTTGATGTTTTGCCGATGGACACATTGTTTGTGGATGTTGTGCTCCAACATGACGTTCTTTTGGTGTCCTGGCTGATCGTGTTTTCTGGCTTGATGTTTCGGGCCGGAGTCCTTTGTCCAAGCTCACTTGTGAGTCTCTTACAAAGCGATTCTTTCGGGAATGGAACCGCCGGGCATACCGCCAAACATCTCCGTGTTGCTGGGGGAACCCCCTTCATCATCAAACAAAACCAAAACCTCCCTTCATACAGCCAAGCATCACCAAAACCCTCCCTTCAAACCCAACCCTCCCAACTCCCCTGGGCGTGCGGCCGAACCGCGGCCTGAGGCGTTCAGCACTTACCGGTGCTCTTGAACTATGTGGACTTCATCGTGCCCCGCCTGCCGCGGCTCCGGCACCACCTGCCGTATATCAGGCGCGCCGCCTGACCGGCGCCTTCGGCTGGGGAGTCATTGGCTGCGGTGGGCCTTCCACGGGCGAGTTACGAATGGTGGACAGCTGTGATGGTATGTGACTAACCCAGACGCGACCCTGGACCCGAATCCTCTGGAGGGGCTTGGGGTCTCAGATCTCTAGGATGTGAGGGAGCAAGGGCTGTTTGGAGCGTTTGGGAAGTATCTCTTGACAGCATTGAGCTTTGCTGGGCAAAATTGGGTCCCAGAACATCTTAAATACGGCTTCCTACATTCACCCCCAGACAGACAATCACATTGAAGCGCTTCCAACACGCTGCCAGGCCCCACATGGCACCGGCCTCAATGCCAGCATCGGGGCGGGGATGGCTCCACTGTTGTACAGGTCGGGTGCTACCGGGAGCTCTTCATATGGGAGTCGTTCTAAAACCCACAGAACAGAATTTCGTAGCACCACGCTTTTCTAAAAAAAACATCGCGCAAGGTTCGCGCCAGGATACTTTTCGGGAAAAGTTACTGTATGTTGAAGAACCCCCATATCTGTAGACTGGGTTGAAGTCAGTTTGACTTAATAGTCACAGCATGTACCAATTGGCCGATTCTCGGGACTGATGAAACGTCCAAGGCTGAGGGAAAAAAAATCCATGTGATACTGAAGCATCACGTTGAATGTCTCTGGATATATGCACCAATTTGAAATCAGTCTTCGGATTGTATAAGTGTGACAAGCGGCTATGAGAAACGTGACAATCTGAGGCTCAGGCTCCTTAGCTCCGTTACCTCCTTTCTTATGAGTACACTACTTTCCTTTTGCGTTGTTTCAGTTGTGTTTTCTTTGTTTGTGTTTAGTATATTTTTATGTCCATATACAGCCAGTGGACCATTGTGAAAGTTGCTTGTTCGTCAGCTTCAAGGACATGGAACACCTCACCAAGAGTCCGTTCTTAAATAGGACTTCTTGGGGAAGCAGTGGCCGCACGGCATCTTGTGAGATCAGGTCCCGCGACGCTAGCTGGGCAAGTAGAGGATGCATTGTGAGTTGGAGAAGATTCTAGCACCTTTTGTGCATCCACGGAAGCCTCATGTTCAGAATGTATAGAGAGTTCTTATGCCATCCTATGCCCATCAAATACTGTAATGTAATTGTTGTTTGTTTGTTCAAGGATCTAGTATCAGCATCCATCGCCTCATCGCCATCCCGATTTGCTTCGCGATGCGACAATCGTGTCACTCGGGCCAAGGTTCATGTGATCCCCTATTTGGATAAGCTTCTTCCATACGCCTCTTGGATGACGTACCCCGTGTCGCTCCTGGTTGGGGAGGTCTAACCACGACCTTCTGAGGATGTGGGGTCCCAGGAGCCGTATCCTTGGGACAGTCTATGGCTTTGTCATCCAGACCTCCGAACTGGGGGGCGCCGATCGCGAGGTGTTTGGCACGCGATCGCTGCACGCGATCCGCTACCGCCTCCGCTTGGAATATGTCATGTATGAGTAGAAGCACATGCTTCTACCAGCACCACCCGAAGGATGGTTTTATCGACCCCCCCTGACCATGTGCTTACTATCCAAGAACCATCCTTGGGGTGGT